ATATATATATATATATATATATATATATATATATATATATATAAAATTCACAAATCTCAAATTATATATCATATATATAATATGATAAGCATATATATAGAGTGGCATAAAAGTGCTTTTAAAACTTAAAACCTAGAGGGCACTGAGACATTTGAGAAACCTTGTGTGTCTCAGTGCGTGCATACACACACATATACATACAGAAAGTTGTTTTTCCCCCTATTCTTTCTTTAATTAAAGAAAAATGCAAAAAAGAAATGTATCTGTGAAGCCCAATATTATATCTCTTTATCTTTTATTACTTTATTATTTTATTCAGTGATATATCACTCTACCTTAGAATTAACACTATTTTTTCAAAATTCCATTGGGTAACATTTGGTTCTTTTAGATTTTGGTGAAACAGTTTTCCCAAATTTTAAAAAGCTGATCTCTTGTATGTGTTCTTTTAAAAGTTTTTGAAAGTTCTTCATATGATATTAAACATGTATTCAAATTACTTTCAAATGAGTGTGCATAGGATTGCAGTCTGATGGCCAATCCTCTGTGTACACTCAAAAGTAACTTTCTTTTAGTTCAAATAGCTACATTTACTGCATCGTAGATGTTCATAAGATTGCACTATTAACCTAAAATATAATGCTTCTCATTCACTGTATTCAAAACTTTATTAAATTTACATTCTACCTTTTCACTAAGATGACTTCAGACATGATTAGACTTTATATATACATTATAAAATAGAGAATGGATTGCACTATTTCAATTGTTTATGCATCTGCCATTAATAGAGTCAATCAAATCTTTTAAAATTCTGTTCTTTTTCCTACATTAATTTTAATTGATTCTCTCAATCTTGTTTTGTTTTCCAGCATCTTAGATTGTAAATTTGAGAATAAGAATTGCCATGATATTAAATTAATATGGTATCTTCTGGTTATTTATTGCCTCAGCAGCATGCAGGCTGCCAAATATATCCTGAAGATATAAAACTTTAAATTCTGCACTCTGGATTTTATTATTCGGTGGCTGCTATCACTGAATAATATTTTGACAAAGAGAAAGTAAAGACTACCTTTTGATGAATATATCATGATATATTTATTTAAATGTCTATTCAGATCCCAAGCTTTTAAAACTCCTGGATCCCGTACGTTTAAATTCAGCACCCCACCTACTCCCCTTCGTGTCAATATTTTTAAAAGCATCTTGGATTTTTTTTTTACAATGGCATTTCAATAGTATAATGGCAGGCTTCCTACATGTTACTTTTCTTTTCCTTCAATAATGCCAATTTTTCATTACAAAGGATTCCATTTGCTTGCCAGACATCAAAGAGACATCTATTTGTCCAAGAACTGAATTGATGTAACATCTCTACACTCAAGTGCAGCAGGGAATGATAATGAGACAGAAAATTGGCACAACATTTTGGTGTGTCAAACACTGGAGATTTGTGAATTAATGGAAATAAACACTTTTTGACATAGAATTTTTAATTTGCTATTTCAGATTCTGGGAGTATTAGCTTTGGTTCTACATATTCTTTAATGCAAAGGGCATAACTGCATAGTCTTTGTCACTAAATTTAAATTGAAGCATCTAAAACACTTTTTGGAATCCCAAAACAGTAATCAATTTTTGAACTAATTGATTCTAGATAGGACAACCATCTTTTATACAAAAGAGTTCCCCAAATGAGGAGATAGTGTAGCTGCGGAAACAATCTTCTGTAGCCCTTTTATGTCACTTGTCTCTCCTTTGCCCCACAGGGTATGCTTGTTTAAAAAGAGGAAAATAGGAAAATCCTTTAAAAATAGGAGCAGAAGGAAAGAATAGCATTGGATTATACCTAATCTAAAAAGATTTTATATTAAAGAAAAGATTGTGTTGCATTGCTACTAAGTTAATTCAGATATGACCTGAGGTTTGAAAACACTGTCAGTTTCTGTATGAGTTCAGTTGAACATGAATGGAAGAAACTGCTGTGGTAAGCATCTTCATTGACTTCCGGATCCTGGCCCCTGGATCTGAACTGAAATATGAATGGTTGGTAGATTAGAGGTGTTGCTGTTGTTGAAATTTGTATCTCGAGTTTTTGAATTACAAAAAATAATGGGATGAAGGCAGGGGTGAAATCAACTTTCCTTCGCTACCAGCTCGCAAATGTGAGCAAGCATCAAAAACGGGACATGATGACATCTCGTGGGTGGGTGGAGCCTCCCACTGTCACTGCTACCGGTTCACCTGAACCGGATAGAATCAGCTGAATAGCACCACAGGACTTAGGAAATTTGAAAATGTGTATTTTCTTTTGTGCAGTTTGCCAAATTCTGATAGAGGCATCACCCCAGTATGGTGTTGTTGTTTTCTTTTAAAGAATTCACTAAGATAATGTCTTCATTGATTGTAAAACTATTGCATCTGCAGCTGGATAAAAATGGGGTATAGTAATGATGATGTATCTATCTTTTATTTATATTATTTAAAAATAGGCCAGAACTTGCGAGACCAGCTACAACCTTGTATCAGCATAATCTGACAGGAATCCTTGAAACAGCTGTCAGGGCAACTAACGCACAGTTTGATAATCCCGAGATCCTCAAACGCTTGGATGTTAGACTTTTGGAGGTATTTTTGAGCCATTTTAGTATCTCATGATAACATTAGATTTGATTTGTCAAAGTTAAAAAAGATATGCTTTGAGGTCAGCAGTATCCAAAGTGCTACATTTTTCTGGATTGTCAGATTTTCGTGACCTTACCGTAATTGTTATTTCACTGAAAAATGAGTTCTAATACTATTACAGAGTTATAGATATTACAGAACAGTATATTGGATAAGAAAAACATAAAGCTACAATCCAAATTAAACGTACTCATAATGTATATGGACTTACTGTGTTATGTATTATGGCCTAAATTAGAGTTCTGCTGAATTTATTCTGATACATTTTTGTTAGGTGCAGTCTGATTTTTGGTAGTTTTCATTTCATCATTGTCCTTCTCTTTGCTTATCTGAACAAAAAATATCACAATTGTATTTCCATTATTCTCTGTGTTGACAAACAGTGTAATCTCCTAGCCCAAAACCAACATTTTAAATTGGCTAAGTAAGGTCTTTCTTTTACCCACTGTGTGTTGACAATTGATCATTACTAAAAGCTAGATCATGACTACTTTGGGAAATAGCTAAATAACTATGTAACTGATTTGCTTAAATATTTATAACTTTTTTAAAGGTGTCTCCAGGTGATACTGGTTGGGATGTTTTCAGTTTAGACTATCACGTTGATGGGCCAATTGCAACGGTAAGGATGTATAGCTCAGTTTGTCCATTTCTGATCTTCTACTTAGAATTACCTATGGTACTTAGTTCTCTAAATACTTGTTATTAAAATAGCCTTTGTACTTTTAGAAGTACATGATTAAAGAGATTGCTTGATATCTTTGATGTACCCATTGTATTAAGAGTACAGCCAAAATCTCAATTTTCCTAAATTATTAATGAGTGTTAAAATGCTACATTTTAAGACCTTCATTATTTGAAATAAATAATTCATTTGCTCTGTCGGAGATTTTAGAAAGTACTTAATAAATGGATTTTCATTTTCAACCATTATTCTAAAACTGTAGCAACTAATTTGGGATAATTTGTGTGAACTGTAAAATGTATTTTAGGGAACCTATTTGTACTCTTTAAATAAATCTGATATATAGTATTCATTAAAACAGATGAGAAAATAGCACCATTGTTCAAAATGCTTTTACTATATGTAAAGAATAACAGTGCTCTGTGAACAAGGTGTCAAAAATGAAACTTTGGTCAGAAGATATTTGCTACATATAGTTTAATCAAAGGAAGATAATATCTAACTTAACATTTGTTAATCCATTTGTATATTCTGTATCCTTCTCTGTAAGTTATGAATAGTTACCGAGCTATGTAATCAGTTCCTTAATATTTAATTTTTGTTGTAGCATGCTGTTAACCATTTAATGTATTTTCCTTTCATTATAATAAACTTTCACGTGTTGAGAATTGAAGGGTAGTGGAAGGGTTTTATTATAGGTATAGTTTATAATATAGTATTCTTTAATGTGATTATTTCTTAAACAAATCAATTCAACCTATATAAGGAACATAATTTAAAGCTACATAAATCATGGAAATAAAGAAGCCTAGTAGACATTTGAATCTTGGAGAAGGGAAGTGTATAAACATCTATCAATATAAACAACTGTGGCCATATATATCTGTCTTTGATAAGTCACTTTTTCACTTTCCATCCCCCATTCATAATCTAATTGTTTAAGGTTGCTATGATGTCAAATAAAATATGAAAATAAACATAGTTCCTTATGATTAGAACTTTAATATTTTAGTTGATTTTCTATATTAGGCAAAGATGTCAAAATCTAGAATATTTGACTCAAATGACTAAATTTTTTTGGATTATAAAATAGGCTTTTGGCCTTTGAAGCTGTGCATTTCTCACATTGACCTATGGATAAGAGGTGGGGAAAGCAAGCAACTGTTCTCTTAATACTTTTTGATATCAAGTTAGATGCAAAAACCTCTCTCAGATTTTATCAAATGATCTTTCAGTTAATGAACAAAAACCATTATTTCAACAGACATTAAAACATAATGTGAGGCAGAAAGGTCCAAGGAAAGGGAGATTTTATTACTTTGGGATGATGCTAACAGCTGAATCTTAGCCATCTGTTACAACATAAAGACTGATTCAGCCAATAAAATGTTATTTTTTTATATCACCGATTAGTTCTAGTATTGAAACAGCATAGAGAAATTGTAGGGGGGAATTAATGGGACTCTCCCCTCCCTATCCATTCAGATAAGGAACTGAAGTAGTAGCTAATTGTGACTGCAGCACAGACCTTAACTTTTTGGCGCATTCAGAATATGTGTACTGTATTTAGTAAAAGGTTTGCCATAACTCCTATATTTGGGCTGAAGCTGCTCTGAGGAGCAGGTACAAAAGCACTTGAATCTAGGGAAGCTGAGATAAATGAACCCAGGGCTTCTTTTGCACAACACAAATCCCCATCATGCTGTTTTCCTTGTATTTATTGTAGCACAGAGGAACAAGAGAAATTCTTACGTACTAATATGAGACTTCTTAATAATAAGACTGTAACATGACTGAGTCTTTGTGTTGAGATCCATAACTCAGCTTCTTGAGTCAACAATGATCTTAAGCTATTGCCCTATCCTTTTAATAGAGCTACTTGAAGCAATGGAAGCAACAGTACTTGAGATTGTAAAGATTGTGATCAAATGTTGCTATTATTTGCAGATGTTTACACGAGAGTGTATGAGCCACTATCTAAGGGTGTTTAACTTCCTATGGAGAGCAAAACGGATGGAATATATTCTTACTGACATATGGAAAGGACATATGTGCAATGCAAAACTTCTAAAAAATATGCCTGGTAAGGGATTCATTTCAGTACATAATTATATCAGTTTCTGTTTTTTCTCCATAATTCTTCAGATTATCAATAGAAGGGAAATTCTGGAAGTTTAAAGTCAATTTAGAGTGAGTTTAGAGCAGGAGTGTCAAACTGTTGATCCGCAGGCCGGATGCATCAGTGGCAGGCCATGCCCACCCCAGCTCCGTGAAGGGAGAAAATGTCTCGAAATGTTATGTGACAACAATGTGACGATGTGAATTTGACACCCATGGTTTCGAGTATATTGTTAGAGTAAGTTTGGTACATTGTGATCATTGAACTGATTTAGTTAAATTCAAAATGAACTTCTAATGATGTTCTGTGTGTAAGGTTTAGATAAACTTGCTATTAATTGCTACTGTGTTACAACAGAAAAAACCTAATTGCATACATAGTATATAAAGTTATGGAAATTATTTTTTTTTACTAATCGCTACCTTCTAATCTTCATATTCTGAATAAATGTCTGTTTCACTTACTATTGGTTAGAGTTTCTATGTGGGTAATAATTTATCCTTGTATATTTTCTGTTCTGGAGGATTACTGAGCAAAACCAGAATTTTGTCCTCCTTTTATTGTTTGCACAGAAAAACCCATAATACTGACTGCTTTAATAGTTCTTTTTATCAGAAGGGGGCAATATTTGCAAACCAGCTCAATATTTATTTATATAAATTGTATTAAATTTGTAAATACCATAAATAAAATTTATTTATACATTTTATTTATTTACTAACCAAACCCAATGGGGATAAAGCTTATCACATTCCATAGACACCAGCAAGCAAGTCGTACTTTACAAGCTTGAGTTTTTAATGTCAATCCTTCTTTTGTTTTTCATCTTCTCCTGTCAATCTGGCATTGCAGGGCTCTTTATGGCAGCCTTGGTGTGGTAGAAGGGATGCTAAGTTAGAGTTCATTTCATCTGTAAGGCATCTATTCAAAAAATGATGCAGTTCTTCACTTTTATCACCTGTGACATTGCCATTTATAGAAAGGGTGGGTGCTGTTTAAAACACTAGGCTGGCAGAATATGTGCATTAATTATCTGCAACTATGGATATGCTGAATAGGAATATTCTTAGTTCTTTATTCTCTAGTATCAGGAGAGGAGCTTTTGCCAAAACAGCGTATAATGACATTTCTGCCACTGAAATCTTCTATTGAAATCTCATTGTTTTGGTTATGTTTATAATGTGTTAGGTTTATTTTAGAAACTGGCAGCTCTCTAGTCTGAGTTATTTTATCCATCTGCAAAATGAGGATAATATCACTTGTCTTCATTACAAGCAATTTGCCAGATACTCAAAATATAGGGGGAAAACAAAATATTATTGTGATTATATTGGGATCTGACTTTCTTCATGTTTTACAACATAAATCTTTTAGCTCAAGATTGATGACACTGTAGCAGTTCAGAGATGGAAATGAAGAAAATATTTAGCGACTATTAGCAAAACATGAACATGCCCAAGAAAGCACAGGAAAGAAACTCAAGATTGCCCCATCACTTTAATATAAGAGGGAAATTAGCAAAACATGAACATGCCCAAGAAAGCACAGGAAAGAAACTCAAGATTGCCCCATCACTTTAATATAAGAGGGAAAGTAGAATTATGTCAGGAATTCTACTTTCTTTCAAGAATCTATTATTAAAGTCTACTACAGAGTTGTAGTATCTCTTGTGATGTTCATTTCCTGACTTGGCCAATATTAGACTTCCATAAACAGTCAGCATAGTAATCAGAATTTGGTTCACTTGCCAGTTATTCGCTTGGAACAGAGATAGATGAATAATGAAATGTAATTTGGAGGATAAATTATATAAAGTATGTTAAATAAGTATCTGAAATTTTTGAAATAGCCTTTACAGAGCCATAGAGCACTGTTACATGATTGAGCTGTATATTTCTCAAAGTCATTTACATTCTCTTTTTAGGTGACTAGAATTTTGTGGACTTTTTAGTTTATAATTGCTTATTGAATAATATTAGCTTCCTTGAATTTTCATAAGCTGAATATAAGTATTCTAATTAATATGTAAGCAATAATCCTTAAAGCTCACTTATTGATTAGGACAGGATTTCACATTTTTCGGCAGGAAAGCAGGGAAATATCTCAGATAGAAATCATATTCAATTTAACAGATTTCTGAACTGCACTCCTAAAGTTAATCATAAGGCAATCCTCGCTTAGCAACCTCAATTGGGACCAGCAATTCAGTCACTAAGCCTCATGATGTTAACTGAAACATCACATGGCTATTAGTTAGTTTTGCCCACGATTTTACTTCTGCTTTCTCTATTAACTCTGGTTGTTGCAAAGTATGTGAGTAACAATCCTGTGATCATGAGACCCTGCAGTGATCATAAATGTACACCAGTTGCAAAATGCTTCAATGGTGATCTCATGACTGTATGATGTTATGATGGTTGTAAATGCAACAATTGGTTATGTGATTTTTTAAAAACATCATTGTAATTTTTAAACAGTCACTAAACAAGTTTGTTAGTAAGCAAGGGCTACCTGTATAGGTTCATTGAGGAGTAGTTCTTCAAGTCTATAAGAAGTTTAAATTTCTAAAGATTAAATGAGTATTTATTTTATAAGCAGCCATACTGGGTATTGTTAGGTAATTAAAAAAATAAATTAATGTTGTGAATATTTGTTTTTTAAACATCCGAGAGCTTATAAATACTAGTTTAATTGATTAAATATTTTGATCAATTAAATGTTGTTAATGGAAATTTTCAATGCAGTTTCATCATTACACATTTCAGAGTTAATGAACCATAATCCACCAGATGAAGTCTGGTAGCTAGTTTTTTTTGTTTTCTTTTTTTTGACAGTCTAGAACTGATAGAAAGTGACTAGCTCAAAATCACCAGCCAGCTCCCATGATAAAAGAGTAGAGTAGACTAGACTGGAGTAGAGTAGAATAGAATAGAATAGAATAGAATAGAATAGAATATAGAATAGAATAGAATAGAATATAATAGAATAGAATAGAATAGAATAGTTTATTGGTGAAGTGTGATTGGACACACAAGGAATTTGACTTTGGTGCATATGCTCTCAGTATGCATAAAGAGACAAGATACATTCGTCAAGAATCATAAGGTAGAACTTAATGTTATAGGATACAAATAAGCAATCAGGAAACATTCAATATCAATATAAATCGTAAGGATACAAGCAACAAAGTTACAGTCATAAGTGGAAGGAGATGGATGATAGGAACATAACCATGCTCCTAATCCAGCTCTTTAACCACTATACCACACTGGTTCATGAGACTCAGTTTGAATCCTTTATTAGGACAGTTCATAACCTTTGATTAAGAGGCTGCTATCCATCATGGTTTGATTTAGGCTGAAGTTTACACAAAAACATGTATATCTGTGCAAATGTGTTTACCGATATTTGCCAGAAAGCCAAGATGGAGAAGAAGGGCATCAAAACTGGATGGAGATGAAGTAAAGAGAGGGCTAAATGGGCAGGGAAGAACAAAACCCTGTTCAGATATTACAAGGATTAAAAGCAGCTCAGTATGCACCCTCTTTTAAGCACTAAGCTAAGTCTATCAGACCTGAGCTGCAGAAAAAGTTAGATTTTCTGTCTCTTTGCTATCAATAAATAGTCATTCAGATTTGGTAGCCCTACATAAGTTAATTTTGAAGGCATCCATGCTTTTCTGCCACAGAATCAGCAGTAATTCACACCTTGCCAATTCCTTTATTTTCAATAGTTTTACTCTTATCTGTGATATAAGACTATCACATTTTTGAAGTAACAAGCAAACTTTTTCTACCTTATCAATATTAGAGGAGATCAAGATTATGAAACAGTTATCTTAGAGAATGCCCTGCCACATCATAAGATTTACAATTTCTGACATTTTTATATATTGGATATTAATCAGTAGTTCAAGCAGGACTAAGTAAACCTATGGAATTATAGTCCCTGAACTCTTTATCCATAAGTTGTGACTATGGTAACAAGTATCCCTCAAGTAATTGAATAAACTTTAGCCACATTGGTTGGGAATCATAGTGCAATACACTAGAGCAGAGGTCTTCAAACTTGGCAACTTTAAGACTTGTAAGCTTCAACTCCCAGAATTCCCAGCAGCCCTGGCTTGAGAATTCTGGGAGTTGAAGTCCACAAGCCTTAAAGTTGCCAAGTTTGGGGACTCCTGCACTAGAGGGACAATAGGAAGGCTGCTTTAACTTTTCAGAATACAAGCCCTGAATCATAGATTGTGGATCTAAAGTGAAATTTTGTTTTTTTAGTGTTTTCTGCTGTAATATTCATACTTCTGTCTGCCCTTTGCTTCAACAACTTTAATGGTCTTAATTCAGTAAGAATGCTGAAAATCATTCAGCTTCTAGCAAAACTTTCATGCATTGTTTCAGTGTGTTATATTCCTGGTATGACTCCTTTTATACTAGATGTTGTGGCTTTTGTTTTTTGTGTATCTCAAGTACTGTAAAACATTTATTGTATAGAAAGGAATATCTACAGGGTAGTAATTCTTTGACCTTTCTCTGACACAGGTGGGCTATGGCAACCAGATAGGCTTTGCCATCCAGTATGCAAAAGGAAAGCTTTGGCATGGCTTTATCTTCTTTTGAAGCTTGTTCCACATTTGAGTACCCTTGACTGAGAAAACCTTATCTCCTTTCCTCACAAAGTTTGGCCTAAACATTTCAGCAAAGCTCTCTCCCAAAAGAATGTTTATAATCTCTGAGGATAAGTCTTTCCCTTCCTGTGTTGAGCATAGTAGCTACTGGAAACCACTTGTCAATCCACCTAATAGGAAAGTCACCTTTCTTTTGTGAATAAGCAAGATGTCTCATGAGTTGGAGTATTGGCCCTGGCCGAGCATGAACATTCCTCTAAAGTAAGCTGTTTATTAGAACCCCTAGGCAATATTTCTCATTTCTTTAATGAAAGGCAATATAACTTGCATTGTTCTGTACCATTTTAAAAATAAGCTGCAGTGAAGAGTAAATGAAAAAGCAGAGCTGGGGATTAACAGATTCATCCATCCCTAATTATGAGGAACCATTGCTTATCTTTTGGTTTTTGTTCTCCTGCCATTTGAAATACTTCCCTTTCCATATTCTTACTAACAGTTTGGGAGAAGGTTCTAGCTTAGTGGAAAGAGCCAGAGCATTACATTTTGAAGGTGCCAAATTCAATCTACACGTGGGGTTAGGAAAAAGTATGGAGATGTGCTGCCAGCCTTTCGGGACTAAGTTAAATAAACCAAGTATCTTAGTAAAAAGCAACATTGCTTCATTTATTATATGGAATGTATACAGATAACTTTGTTTTCTCACTTGATTCTACTTGATATATTTGGGAGCTGTCATATTATCGTTAACTGGAAACAATGTTGACTATTAGAATTTATAGCTTCAATTTATTGGATTAAAAAGATGATGGTGTATTATAGTATATTATGATTTTTTTTCTTTCTTCGAGTAACCTTTCAGAAAAGGTTCAGGTTATCAAGCTCAGTTGTATTTTTTTTTTAAAGTTAGATGAATCAATCCTTTCTAATTTTTAATATACAAATACTTTGGATTTCTTACAGAGCTTTCTGGGGTGCTGCATCAGTGTCACGTTTTGGCATCAGAAATGGTCCATTTCATTCATCAAATGCAGTATTATATTACATTTGAGGTACTCTTCAACCAACCATTTTGTAGTCTGTTTTGTTTTTGTTTTGAGGAGGAGAAATGTGTGTAGTGCCGTGCAAAGTGAAGAGTGTGTTAAATAGAGTTTCTGAAGGAAGAGCATTATTATACTGAATTCTTAAAATTATGCCTTAGATCCTGGAATGTTCATGGGATGAACTGTGGAAGAAGGTCCAACAAGCTCAGGACCTGGATCACATCATTGCAGCTCATGAAGTCTTCCTAGATACCATCATAGCTCGCTGTTTGCTGGACACTGATTCAAGAGTAAGCCTTTTCTCTATTTAAACATTATTTCTGTGATGATTATGCTCATCGCTCCCTTTTCTTTGTTTAGCAATGTGTGCAGTATAATATTTATTCAGAAGTGAAATCCCACTATTCCATAATAACAGAGCTTAGAATTGCACACCTGGATTGAGTCTATCTTAGCACTAGATATAATATCTGTGGATGTAGGATATTATTTTTACATTTCACAATTTCTTATAGATGCTTCTCAACCAGCTCCGAGCTGTTTTTGATCAGATTCTTGAATTTCAAAATGTGCAAGACACAATGTACCGAGCCGCCTTAGAGGAATTGCAGCTACGTTTGCAGTTTGAAGAAAGGAAAAAGGAGCGAGAAGTTGAGGTATAGCTCCTTTCTATGGCATTCTATGTCATATGCTTGTATTTTAATGATACTCGAATGAAACAGCTTCTTCTGTTCTTTTTCCTGAAAAGTAATGAACAAAAAGTAGAAAAACAGTGTAGAAATTCCAGAGAATTTCTGCTGATTTTCTGTCCTCCAGGATTCAGAAATCATCAAGCAAGTTTATGACTTTGTCCCATAGTAATTAATCTAAAAAAAAACCAGTGTACTTCCTTGCGTAACAAAGGATACAATGGAATAAATGTGCACCTGTCGATTTATCCCCCTATTTTTTTTAAATTGCATTCTTAAGGGTGAATGGGGAGTAACAGCTTCAGAACAAGAAGAAGAGATGAAAAGAATGAAAGAATTTGAAGACTCAATACCAAAAATGTGTTCACAGCTGCGACTACTTACTCATTTCTATCAGGTATTTTTGTTTAAATTAACATTTGATACAAATGGATTAGTACTAAGTATCTTTGCCTAAAATAATATTTCAATGCAGCATTATACAGACCATTTTATGTAATTGGGTGGAAATAGTAAAACCTCATGCTATATGATTCCATTATGACTGATAAGATTGGTAAACAGGATGCATTCTTAGAAGAGTAAACAAAAACATCACAGAGATTGTCCATATATCTGACTTGCTTACATAACTAATTATATTATGGATTTATATCAGATCATTACTGCTTTAGATAGATAATACTATATCATCATCAAAGTGTTTTTTTAGAATAGATGTCAGCATATTTAGATATTTAATATAATAATACACATATATACTCTCTCTTTTATGGAAGTCCTTTTTCTTTCTTTAAAATTAAATCACAATTTAATTTAATTTAAATCACAATTTTGAGAGGTGCATGTATTGTATGTATGGAAGAATTCCAAAATCAATAAATGATAAAACCAACAGGTGCTTTACAGATAATCCCTGGATTGATTAATATATTTATGTTTGTGAGTGCATGGATACACATACAGAGGCTACATATGCAATCCCATATACGTACATTCATATAATATGAATAGATATGAATGAATGAGAAACATGACAAGATGAATAATAGCACAGTCATGTTCTCAATATCCAAACTGAATTAACTTTTATTAAATAAGTTAAAATGGCTTAAAACAGATTTCCTTAATTTTATAATTTACTTTCTGTCAATCCATACTTTACCAAACTCCTTTGTTTATTATTTCAGCTTCATTTCAAGACCCCAAATAGCTAACATTACTGATCAAAAGGGGAGGGGGGAGAGAAATCAGTTAATATAAATATAAGCAAACTGATTCACACACACCCCTTTCAAAGCAGCATGATCTTTTCCCCAAACATTTTTCTGAAGCTTTTACAGCTCTTTGAAACTGTAGGAAGGAAAGGTGGTTTAGATATCTGTTGATTGGTTGTTCCAAATGACTTAAGGCATCACAGCATTAAAAAGGCTTGAACCTAGAATTCCTGAAACTGGCATTCCATCCAGGCAGGTAATCATATACATATCTAGGCCCTGAGCTCTGAGGGGCTTAAAGTAGCAATCAGCATCTTCAACTGCACCTGAAAGCTAAACAGCTCCTGCAGTAGTGATATAGTGTGGTCAAATCTCAATAGATCAGTAATTACCCAAATCGCTGTTCCTCCAACTCTTTCATGTAAGGGGATTCCATGCAATCTTCATTTTGTTGACTTTGAGAGGGAACCAATAAAATTGCTTCATCTTCTGTCTGAAATTCTGATCTTTTAATTTGGTGACATGCGTTTGTTTGTTTTTAATAAGTTTTGCCAATTATTTCCCTTTATATTGAAAGATTCATCATTACAACCAGTCAAGTTTTGTAAGTTGTCAGAGGATTTTAAATATGAATTACAAACTGAAACAAGCCATAGGTGCTGTCTGAGAGATTCAGTGGAATTTTTAAAACTGTGATAAAGATTTATCTGGCACAAAGCTCAATGACTGGCATGACAATTTATAATGGTTTGCCAACTATGAAGTACCCCAAGAAGCCATGTGTGTTTCACTTTTTGATCTGATGTTTGGAAGGAAAATGGTGAGTTAAAGAAATAATTGGCAAAACTGATTCAAAAAATCAAACACATATGTCACCAGATTAAAAGATCATTGGATATACCATGGAATGCAATGAAGGTGTTCGCTAAGTGGAGAAAAGATGGCACAACAGTGACATTACCAAGAAATTATTATTCATAATTAATTAAAAAAAAAGAAGCAAACTGGTCCAAGAGGCTGCCAAGAGACCTACAGTACCATTAAAGCAGCTGCAGGAATTTCTGGAAAGTATTGGTTGTGCTACATGTGACAACCATCTCCTGTATTTTTAATACGTCTGGGCTGTGGGGTACGGTTGCAAGACAGAAGCCTTTTTTAAAAAAAACAAAAATCTATATGAAGTCTGACAAAAGCATGTGGGAAAATGTGTAATAGTAGGAGGAGGCCAAGGTTGAACCTTTTGGCCATAATTCCCAAAAATTGGTTTGGCACAAAAACAAAACTGCACATCACCAAAAGTACATTTTTGAAGCATGGTGATGGCAGTATTATGCTTTTCTTTAGCTGAAACTGAGCCTTTAGTCAAGATGGAGGGAATTATGAACTGTTCCAAATATATCAGTCAATTTTGGCACAAAATCTTCAAACCTGTGTTAAAACGCTGAAGATGAAGAGGAATTTCATCTTTCAACACGACAATGATCTGAAACATACCTCCAAATGAACAAAACAATGGTTTCACCAGAAGAAATTTAAAGTTTTTGGATGGCCAGCCAAAGCCCAGTTGAAATCCAATTGAAAATCTGTATGGAGATCTGAACAAGATTGTGCACAGAAGATGCAATCTGTCAATCTGGAGCACTTCCGCAAAGAAGAGTGGGAAAAGATTCGCAACGCAAGATGTGCTAGGCTGATAGGCTCCTACACCAAAAGACTGAATACTCTCATAAAATCAAAAGGTGCTTCAGTATTAGTTTAAAAGTGGGCACACTTATGCAACCATTTTGTTGTAAGTTTTTTTTCTTCTAAAAGTTTTCAGTTTGTTTAATTTAATTTTTTTCATCTCGGCATTTTATCAGGGTGTGTAGATTGTTTTATATTCACTGCATTAGATATTCGTTTTTCACCTCCACATAGTAAGGAACACAGTGAAAAAATGAAACTAAAATATAAAAAAGAGAAAACTAATGACAACAGGTACAGCAACTAGACTTAATGTTGGCAGTGAAGTGGATAATTTCTGCCTTTTAGGATCAGCCATCAACAATAAAGGAACAAGAAATCAAGAACTATGCCACAGACTAACACTAACATATTCTAAGGGTTGAAGGCCTTAGAAATTATATTCACATGCTCTGATGTGTCTGTGATTGCAAAGATCAAAATTATGCAGGCAGTGGTATTCTCTGTAATACTCTATGGAAAGAAAATTGGATTTTGATGAAACAGGATAACAAGAGTACTGATACTTTTTAACTTTAGCGTTGGAGAAGACTCCTGAGAATATTGTGGCCAAGAAAATGAACAAATGGATCATTGACCAAATCAACCCAGGATTCTCACTCGAAGCACATCCGACCAGGCTCAGATTATTTCACATATTATGTGAAGGCCCACCTCTCTGGAGAAGGCTGTATTGATGGGAAAGTTAGTAGGAAAAGGGAGATGATGATCAGCAGCAAAGTGGATAGATTTGATTACAGTAGCAGTGGTACACTCTTTGAAGGTCTGAAGGGCCAGATTGGAAAGATCATCGTGAAGAAGAGCTATGGATGTAGTTGCTGACAGACTTGATGGCACATAGCAGTTAATCATGATGTGCTAAATTAACTTCAGAACCTTTCTTATATGCTATATATTCAATTTCAATTTCAATAAACCAATTTTGTTGTATTTAAGTACAATGACAATAAGGATTATACTTATACGTATTCCTGCCCTTTTTGTTTCTTTATCCCATTATATCTTACCATAATGAAGGGTATAAAGGAATCTTCCCTAACTGTCACTCATGCAATCCTCTCATATTTTTCCATGTTGCAAATCAAACTATGGAATTATTTTTAATCAACCAAAACCACCTTTATCAAAATCATAGTACAGGAGTACTATCTACTATAATCAATCAATGGCTTCTGACTAACTTTCATTGCTTCTCTTAAGGAACCATTTATTCTTCAACAATGGTTAGATGAAACATTTTGAACATTTTTCTCATTCTTCAACTTAGAAATTGCTTTTTTTCCCCATTTCTAGTTTGTTTTCATTGGAGCTTTTCTTAAGTAACAGTAAGTTTTGATGTGGCTTCTTTTTTCTTCACTAAAGAAGCTAGTTATATTACTTTCCTTTTTCTTTAACCACTGTTTTGGCCCTTTTCCTTATTCAAAAAAGTTATGTTTTCTTGAGGATTATTTATTTCTTTGAGATACCCTAACTTTCATCTATTAATTTAATATGGGGATTCTTATTTAAAATAAATTAGTCTGCTATCTTGGCTCTCTTTAAAATTGCAGCTGTGAGAAAACTTGTTCTAAGCCCATGTTTCATCATCTTCTAAAGGAAATTCTCCTTAGCCCCATCTGTCCAGTTTTTTCAACAATTGATGAGTTTTCTAACCTTAGATTTTATATAAGATTTTAATGTTTCCTCTAAAGCAGTGCTTCCCAAGCTTTTTCCTTCATTATCTAAAACCACTTATTCAAAAGTCCTTTTTACCCAATGTAGGTAAAACAGTTTAAATGTCCCTGTTGAGATTGGGTAATGTGTTCATGTGTTGTTACATCAAATAAACCCAAATCGCTGCAACGCTGTTGGGAGGTAGGTACATAAGAGCCGAGGTGGCGCAGTGGTTAAATGCAGCACTGCAGGCTACTTCAGCCGACTGCAGTTCTGCAGTTCGGCTGTTCAAATCTCACCAGCTCAGGGTTGACTCAGCCTTCCATCCTTCCGAGGTGGGTAAAATGAGGACCCGGATTGTTGTTGGGGGCAATATGCTGACTCTGTAAACCGCTTAGAGAGGGCTGAAAGCCCTATGAAGCGGTATATAAGTCTAACTGCTATTAGCAACAAACCCACTTGACCTCCAAGGTCCAACTTTATCAACAGGGACTCACACCCGACAAGCTCTGGAGCAGGGATCCTACGAGGAACTAAAGACCTTCGGACGATGACAGCTAAACAAAAACCTAATACCCAATATACCTAGGTTTGGGAAGCACTATTCTATAAAGAAATCAAAACTCATTTTAAATTGCTTATAAACTGATAATTTGAATACTGAAGAGTCAGCTTGTTCCTTTCAAATTTCCTTAGCAGTTTTCTGCTAACTCCTCATGGAATCAATTTCATAAATTCCTTTTTTTGAACTTTCTCTTAGAAGCTTTTCAATACTGTTCAAGAAAGTATGAGGTAAAGTCTTTAAGGTGTGATTTTAATAGGATGTTCCGCTTCTATTTGAAATACTTCCCTCTCATATATCTTCCTCTGGCTCCTTTAGCTTTTCTATTTTGTTGAAGTAATCTGACTGGCTGTGGCTATGCTGGTTCTCCTGTGGATATCCTAAATATTTCCCTCTCTCAGTTCCCCATTCCTTTGTGTATACTTTTTAGCAATGTTGCTTGTGCGATGAAAATCCTCATCACTTTTGCCCTCACTGTGAGAAAGGAAGTCTCTCTCTTCCAGCTGCCTTGGTCGTTCTCCAAGGTATGACTTCCATAACTGTTAGGTCTCATGTCAAGGATCTGTTTTCTGCTCTTGTCCTTTCCAATTATAGCATCTCCAACAAGTTTTATCTCACAAATTGTTCAATTATTCTGTTTTCCACTGAGCTCTTCTTTTGGATCGCTAACATCTAGTGCAACAGCTCAAAACCTCCCGTGGTGGTTACCACATGTTACATGCCCTCTTTTCTAGTTTTCCTTATTTTTCTTTCTCATTTCAAAAATTAAAGCCGAATCCCCTTAGCCAGGGATTTCTCTAAAGGAGTTACTGGTTTTACAGATATCACCAATTGTTTTTTTAACTTGGACATAATTTTGTTATTCTTTCTTTCTTTAGATGGATCTGAGGTAACAATGGAGTGGGGAAGAGAGAGAACCGTTTAGTTGGTTTTTCATGAGTAAAGAAAGGAATAGGATGAGTTTTTATTAAATAATTTAAAATGAGCTTGTTTTATGATTTTTGTAATGAGATTAATGCTTTATGAAATGTGACTTTCAGTAGGAGGCCCTTGATTTGAAAAGTTACACATAACCTGCTTTAGTATTTAGTAGTATTTAGTACCTCTATTGCATTAAAATTGTCAATTTCTTCTGATCTTTTCCCCTTTTCCTTTCAGGGCATTGTACAGCAGTTCTTGGTGCTCCTGACCACCAGTTCTGATGAAAGCCTCCAATTTCTTAGCTTTAGACTGGATTTCAATGAACATTATAAAGCCAGAGAACCGAGGCTTCGGGTATCTTTGGGCACTAGAGGGCGACGTAATTCACACATATGAATTTTTTTCTGCAGCAAACATAACCAGGATCGCTCACCTGGCTCACTCGACGTGTAACTTGTTGGATGTAGCAGTGATGGTTGAGAGTATGAAACCAAATGGCATGCAGTAGTGTTTGTCATTCTTGCAAACAACCTGTTTTCAGTCATGTGGTTGTGCAACACTAGTAGAGAAAGCAAAATACTTTCCTTTCTGTATTTAATAAGTGTTACAACTAAGTGGATTTAAATTGTTTCAGTTTTGTTATTGAAAAATCACTATATTTCGTTTGGATCGTCTGAGGAACTATCCACTGTAATTTTATATTTGTCTTTAGGACATCATTTCCACTTATAGTAAGCACTGTTCCCAGTTTTCCGTTTGAACTTGGAAACCAGTTTTATGAAAATTTGCTGCTGGTCAAAAATATGTATCCAAGGTGTTTGTTTGTTTGTTTGGGGCTTTTTTTAGTAGGGAAAATATGTCACATAAATTACTTACATTAATATTTTCAGCATTTTCAAAGCAATGATTTATTTTTCCAGAAAATTTTTAACTGCTTATACAGAAACATATTAGAAACATAACATGCACAAATATCCTAAAATAAAGAATTCAGTGCTCTCAAGTAATTAAAGTTGTAAATATAAAATAGATGTGAATGAAGTATTTTGTGTTCAAATCGGATGTATGCAAAATTAATTTGGATATTGAAGACTACTTATTTCTCTTTCCTTGCCTATTTTTTCATTGTAAATATTTATATATTGCTGTCCAAATATTACAGGGAAACACTTTTGTAAAGAAGCCACTATATATCAAGTCATTCAATTATCCATTTGTTATATTCACAGGTAAAATCTTAGAAAATAAACACAATTATCTTTCAAACACTTTATCTGTTTCTTCTAACTGGAAAAGTGCCTGTTCTTAAAAAAATAATTATATAATAAAATTAGTTTTGAATGTATAGGCCCTTCTTTTCTTTACTTTGCCTGATAGCTTATAGAATATATAATATGTCTCAAAAAATGGGAATGCCTGACTCCAAACTGAGTTTATATTGAGGCCCCTGTATGGATTTCCTAAATGAGCCTAATTTCAGTTTCATAGGTACAGAGCCAAGGGTATCTTTATTATTTTTGATTATCTGGAAAAAAAATTTTTTTTTCTGAATTTGTTTTATTCATAGTGTGGTTATTTTAAAATAGAAAATAGCAAACCCTCCAAATCTCTGTATTTTCCCTGTATTTCAAATTCTTTTTCAGCTCACATGTATCAGATGTGTCAATATTCATCTTGTTGTTTCAAGTGTGTTTCAATTTATCCAAAATGTTCAATATGTGTGCAGTTTTACATGTCACAAAAAGTTATTTGTCATTGCAGAGTGCATTACACTAGTTAGGCCTACTTTCCTAATTTGAAAAGTGCCAGATAAAGAATTTGAGCAAATATTATAATTAAATTAACGTGCTTAAATTTGGCAAATCCAAGCTAGATTAGCAACTGCTACAACTCAAAAGTATAAAACTACTTTTATTATTCCTAAGCATGATTGCAGTATGATTCATTGGCATACTATAGTGTTTCATCATGATTACTCTTGGTAAAAATATTTGGACTAAATGCTTTGGAGCATTGGTTAAATAGAATAAATAACTCTTTACTATTCACTTGCTTTTCTAGTCAGAGTATGAATCTGTACCACAATCATATTTGTGATCCTGAAAACACTTACATTCTGTGCCATCAAACTGGGACATTTTTGATTCATTAAAATTTTGGTTTATATTTGGAGTAATGAAATTATCTGATGAAGGATCATGAACCCCATTTAAACTGGTATAATATTGATGCTTAGATAACTGAGCGGTGTGTGCTCTTTTGGGTTGTGTGTATTTTGGACTACTACTGGAGGATAAATAATGGTCTGTTTTTTTTCTGTGAGAAGTACTATCTTTCTCTTGATATCTTTCATAGTCCTGATTCCTGGATGTGTTATATTGTTCTAGACTATTATAGGAAGTCCTATTCAATTTGAAAGGTTTAGATTGTACTTTTAACTTCTTATGTGTACTATAATTAGGTGATTCCTCTAATGATTCAACATAGGGCATTAATTCTGTTTGTTTTGCTGGGTAGCTAGGGGAAGAAACAGACTGAATCTCTAAAGGCTTTGTAACATCTTCACCATCTGTTGAAAGAAAAATTCCTGGTGGTGAGCAGTTATTGTTGTTGTGATTTTCTATGTCAATAGCATCGTAGACTGATGTTTTTGGCTCCAGTGGTATCATATTGTTTGCTTCTGATTCCTCAATTTTTTCTAATTCTTCATGTTTGTCTGATTCCTTATTTTTGACAAATTCATTCTTCTTGTCAGATTCTTCCTTCTTGTCAGTGTCAGCATTTGCTATAATTGGTTTCCTAAAATGATAAAGGAATAATTTTAAACAAAACTTATTTATAAATAATTCTTATAAATAACTTGGGAACCACCTCAGCTAAAAGACCATTATTGAATAGATTATAAATGATGAAACTTATCTTTCCCTGTGTCTTCCCCAAGAAAGGAAGGTAATCTTTTAATCAAGTTGTCATTTTTCTTACTGATTCACCCATTTCATTATCAGCCATAAGGGAGAGGGGGTTGTTGCATATAAAAAATTCCTAGCCGGCAGAAGGATATTCTGAAGACTGCATTTGACATGCAAGAATTACATGTTGGATGGGTAAACATTTAATAAGCCCATACAAAATACATGTTTGTACTTCCTGCTTCTCAAGAGACATAGTTTTTTATGCTTAACATCATGAAGTTTAGGCCAAGAGACAAGGCTCAAGGCCTTAGTAGGGAACATCATGGCTGAACTGGGATGTCTTCCTTCTGCAGCAGTGTTTCTCAACCTTGGTGACTTTAAGTCCTGTGGACTTCAACTCCAGCTGGCTGGGGAATTCTGGGAGTTGAAGTCCACAGGACTTAAAGTCGCCAAGGTTGAGAAACACTGTTCTACAGGATATTCAGTCTCAATGTCTGACTCTTACATGGCTGAGTTGCATTTGATCGGCAGTCTCTACTACTGCATCAATTTGACCTAACATGTTATATCTATGTTAAAAATATATAAATGGTACGGAGTTGTTAGGATGGGAGTTGTTATGATACAGAATGACAGTGATAGGAGGGGAGAAGAGAATGAAACAATAACTTACTGCTTCTTCGCTACCAATGAATTGTATATGTGCACAAGGACTATCACTGCTAAGATCAAGCCAGAAACAGCTACACAGGCAATAATGATGTGCTTTAGTAGTTGTTTAAGATCTGCAGCCTTTGCTCTTTTTTTATCCTGAATACCTAAAGGGATATAATAGATGACACAGAATAGTATATCATATTTTCCATAATGTAACACTGACCTATCATATGCGCTGTAATCCATGAAAACATTTTTATAGAAAACGTGCTGATACTTTTAAGCATTTAAAGGCAGATCATCCATTTGATTCACATCATGTAAAGCAATAGCCCCCAACCTCTGGGCCATAGCCCATTTGGCAGGCAAGCATGTGCAGCTTCACTTTCATGAGCAATTGGCGCTCACGTGTGTAAAGTTCCATTTGTATGAGTGGTGGGTGCTGGCGTGCCAAGCTCCATTTGCACAAATGGAGTTTCACATGCTCACACATGCACCTGCTGCTCACTCCTGCTGTCCACCAAGCTGGAAAGGTTGGGGACCGCTGATGTAAAGCAATGTGCTACATGGTATCAGTTCTTTGCTTTGTTATTAAATACAGCTATGAAAAACAGTACAGGTCATCCTTGCTTACTGATTGCTCATTCAGCAATTGTTCTGAGTTACAACATTGCTGAAAAAGATTTATAATCAGTTCGTGAGCCTTACATTTGTGATCTTTATAGCTACCTTCCTACAAGCAAAGTCAGTGCAGAAGTTGGAAGTCATAAGACAAATCATAATCATGTGACATTAAGCTTAACAATTATGAGTGATTTACTTCACAACTGCAACTAGAAATGATGTCATAAGTTGGGTACATGGTCAAGTAGTGTTTCACAAATTGCTTAGCACACGCTACGGGTCCCAATTGTAGTCACTGATTGAGGAATGAAGCTTATTTTAAGATCCCCCCCCCCAAGCTGTTTCTTTTCCCTAAATCAGTCACTGCAGTAATTCAGATGTTTCTGCTTCCAAGAATATTTTAAAAGCTTGGATCCTGAGTAGTTGCATTAAAGTAGCATATAATTCAAAAGTAAACTTTACCAGTTATCTCCACAGCAATAACACCTTCATTACTAAATTAAATCAACAGTTCCTCAGCAAAATACCATAATTACTTCTGTAGCCTTACCTGAGAAATGCTGTAAAGAGAGGCTTCAAAAAAACATGACATTTGGAAATACTTAATGCTGCCTTCTATAGGACTGAACTCTTCTAAGATTAATTCTTTAGCTGCAAAGTCTTTTACAGTTTGAAAAGAGTAGGGGAAGAGAAGAGAATCAGAATTCTGATGCTCATCTCAGTTGTCATGTGAGCATTAGGAAGCTCAGAAGCTTATTCCAAAGTTTGAGCCAAAGCTTAAGCCAGCATGCATAATGAATTGTAATGTAATCACTGCAGTGCCAATAAGGTTGAACAATTGTGGCACTCTGAGAAAGAGTTCAGAAGGGCCTCCTATAAACAACTGTCCATTTTACCATGTACAATTTATTATAATAAATTTACTATGCACAATTTACCACTTAACACATTTACCATGCATAATTTATTATAAGAAGTTAACTCCTATGTTTCATTTGGCAATACACAATTAAATATTTGGATATTAATAACAAAGAGATTATTGAATTTTGGATCCTTAAAAATTCTACATTTTAAGCTGACACCTGCATGCTTAAATTTACACTTGATTTCTATTGAAATGGGGGGGGGGGCTTTAAATATCTTTCCATTGGTTATAGTTCTGCTTTTCTCATTTAATATTGCAAGTATCTAAAAAAATTAAATTCCTTAACTGTCACTTCTCAGGATTGTACTATGTGCTTCAGATACAATTAGCAAATGGAGAAGGTTTGAGTTCAGAAGTTATACAGAATATAAACAGCTTGCATGATTTTTGTATTCAGTTAACATAAAATATCACATTTCTTGCCTGAAAGCTAGCAGTGCTCATTTGTGAATCTAAATCTGTTGTTTTCAGCTTTCTAAAATGAGTTAGAATAGTAATATATCACATTATATGACTGATGTTAAGAGCCCTTTCCTTAGCAACATTACAGGTGCATGAGTTATTTGCTTTTTACCATCCATCCAAACAAAAAAAAATTCTTCATAGTAAAAGTTTGCTCCAGCTCAAGATGGAGGGAAAACATTTTAAATTTAAACAGCTTTACAATTAATTTGTGATTTTTACTTTAGCAATAACCTTGGGTGATGCAAAACTGCTGGCTTAGATGGTTTACAATATCTCATCACTTTGCTCTTTCATCAATATCTCTCCCCTTTATCCCCAAACAGATTTTCTCCATTTCTTGATCTATATTCCTCTTCTTCCTCCTGAAGTAAAGTTGCAGTCACAATACAGAAAAAAAGCTTTTCCTCCAACCCCAAAAATCCATTTTAACTATTCATTTTTCTCCTCTAAATAGAGGTTAAAAATGCAATTCTCACCCAAAAATCAGTTGTATTAAGTATTTAGCAAAAGGTAGGTAGAAGATACCCTGCTATTCTTAAAGCTGTATGCTTGATTCCCCGTATTCCAAACTTGGCGGCTGAAATGCCAAGGGATGCAAGCTTCATCTAGAATTTGGATACAGTACTCCATGAGTATTTGGCTTCAGATCCAAGCAGCAGAAGCCCAGAGAAACCAGCACACACAAAAGCTGGGCATATATTCACTAAATCTGGCATGCAGGAGCAATGCCCCAAAGCTTGCCAGCCCTTAAGCCTTTGAATGGTACAGCCACATTGCTCTGGCATCCAAAAACCAGCATTTACACTGGTGGTTGTAGCTTTTATCTCATGACAAAAATACTAATGCTATTAAAAATCTGTTTTCACTAGTCTGACTATATCGATGAAATATTTCTGTTAGGACTAAGCCATTTTTGCTGTTTATTTTAGGCTTCACTGGGATGTGAACAAAATTCCTTATTATAGTGTCTCATAGAGCAATTCATTTCTCTACTTATCCGCTGTTTTATTTATTACATCAAGTGCTGCTAATGGATAATGATTTGAAAAATAAAAATCTCCATATGTTTTTGTCTTATATAATAAATTTTGAAACTAGACCCCACCATGGGTTTACAAAATTAAAAAGTAAAGAGAGTACCTTTATGTTGTTATCTGCATATTGTCATGCTTTATTAGAGGTTTAAACTTTGGCTTAAGGAACCCAACAAAAACAACAGCAACAAACCCTGCCTTGTTAATTTTGTAATTGAGGTCTAGACAAACAAATTGCCACCGCCATAGAAAAAATGTTTGTTTCTTTTCAGCTGAACACACACAAAATAGGTTTTAGCAGAACAAACCCAACAGAAAAGCATAAATCAAGTGTTTAAAAATAGAATGGAGATAGCTGCAGTTTGCTATGTCAATGAACATAGGACAACAGAGCTGAAATTATAGCCCTGGTGTATTAGGTAATACTCCCCCCCCCCCACCAAACGGCAGAATACAGAAGATGCACAGGGAACATCATTCATTTTAACTTGGTGTAAGCTTACCTTACCTAAAAGCTTATTTTATTTACCTTCATACTTCTCAAAAAATTCAAATCTTCTGGCATTATTCACATCTTCATTTGTCACTTCAGTTCTTATACCTAAAAAAACCACATAGATTTAATAGTATTTTGTGCTGTTGGTTTTATATACACACACAGACACACTGTATTTATGTATGTATGTATGTATGTATGTATGTATGTATGTATGTATGTATATGTGTGTGTGTATCTGTTATATATATGTATGTATGTATGTATGTATGTATATATGTATATATGTATATGTATATGTATATAATCATATAAATGATAGCTGCTAAGAAACCCTATATAACACACACATGTTGTTTCTTAACAGCTGTTTCTTAACAGCTATCATTTCGCTTTTTAAAGAATTGTCATTCCAGCAACAAACTTACCACCTGTGAAACATGGCAATGGTGGCAGTATCATGGTTTGGGCTTGCTTTGTTGCATTTGTACTGTGATGACAAGCCATTGATTATGAATTATACTAGGAAATACTACAGGAAAATATCAGAGTATCTCTCCATGAACAAAAAGCTCAAGGCAGTACATCATGTAGGAAAACAATGATCTTAACCACATGAGTTGTATCACCAAAGAATTGTTAAAAGCAGGAGAAAGTTAATGTTTTGGAATGGCCAAGTCAAAGGCCCGACCTTAATCCTAAAGAAATGTGAAAGGACCTAAAGCAGGCAGTGCGTATGAGGAAGCCCCCCCCCCCAATCCAAGTTTTTCCATTAGGATGAATGGGCTGAAATTCTTCCAAGTCCATTGAGCAGGACTGCTCAACATTTATTGGAAACATTTAATTATTAGTGCTAATAATATTTGGTAGCAATAGTTATTGCTACCAAGAGGGGCATGTCAGTTGTTGAAAGCAAAGGTCACACTTTTGCCACCCACAAATATACAGTATAGCTTTGGATAATTGTCCTCAATAAATCAGTGAAGAAGTATAATATTTTACTCATTTGTTTAATTGCGTTCCCATCTAGTTTTATGACTCTGTACAGAACAGAGCACATTTTAGGTCATTTTTGCAGAAATTTTGAAAATTCAAGAGAGTTCACAAATTTAAGCACAACTGTTCGGCATGAGAAAAATTTGGTGCAAACTTATCTTTTCCTTTTATTTTCCATGTGTGCTTTATAATATTGGATGCACTACATTGAGGCACTCCCAACATCTCATTTTATTTTAACGTTGCTATGACCACATTCATGTTGCTCAAATTACATCAAATTTTTGCTCTAATGTAATAACAAGCCTCTTCTTTTTTGAGCTGGTAGTGTTTTCCTCTGAAGAGATTGGACAAATCAGAAATATAAAAAAGCAGCAACTGGGAAGCAAGGTAGAATGATGTACTGCTAGGTCGCAATTAATGCCAGTTGAAATAACATGATATTAAATTTGGTGTAAAATGTAAATTGATACCACATTTTGTTTAATGCAAACCAAATTTCAGTTTAACTGAGGCAAGTGTGTGTACAGTTGCCATTGAGATTTTAGACCGCACCAATCTTTGTGTGTGCAAAATGGGGAAAAGGAAGATTTAAAGTAGGCTGTTTCTGGCAAATGATCTATCTACCTGAATCCATCATCTAAAACTTGTAGGACAATAGCATATACTAATACATAACCTCTTATTTATAATCTAAATAAGCTCTTCCATTTCAGGTACTTAATTTTTGGAATCTTTATCATTAATTTCAGTTGTGGATTTGGGTAGAAAAACCTTGCTCTTATTACTAATTTGATTCAATCATTCTTAATAAGAACAGATGAAGTTAAAAAGATCAATTTGGGCAGATGTTATCTCAGACAGAATGGAATAGAACATTAGATAATGATTTTACTTTGAGGAAGAGTTGATTTAAGCGAGAAGATCAATGATGTTTCACTGGAAGCAGGTAAAATACGACTTTCTTCTGAGGAAGATTTCATCAGTGTGTTTTCCTTTTCACTCGATTGTCTCTCTTTAATTCAAGGGGACAAAACATTGACAGTAGAACATTCTATAAGCATTGTCCAAAAAAAGAGAATTCTAAATAATACAATAGTTATTAGTATGAAATGTGGAATTGTCTCTAAATAATGATATAGTTACAAAATAATGCTAATTTGCTAATTTGTAAATCTAATCTACATATATCAAGGAAAAACCCAAAGAGATTCTTTTTCATTGGACTCAACAGAACAAGAAAAACCTGAATCTGCAAATTTGTGTAGCTTTTGCCAACGAAATTGATTTTTCTAGGCAAGTTAAGTACAGAAATTTTGCTTTTCATTTTTGTGTGTATAACATCCAGATATTCCTCCATGTCAAAATATTTAGAGGGTGTGTTCTTCAGTTCTCATATTTGGTTCTTTATAGTGCTTCTGCCAATTATTTGGTTGTGGAGTTCCTAGAGTGAAATGATTTGAAACATGGGACAAAAGCAATGTCTTCGCCTGGCACTACAAACATATCAGTGTAGACCAGTGGTGGGATTCAAATAATTTAACAACCGGTTCTCTGCCCTAATGACCATCTGGGTAGGTGGGGCTCTGTGGTCATGTGACTGGGTGGGCGTGGCCAACTCAAGGTCACTCAGGTCGATAGGTGCTTCGCCTTAGCTGTTACAATGTAATAAGGGTTAACCGGAGAGGCAGTTTCTGTAAGCAGGTCAATAAAGATTAGGCTAGAAACAACACTAGAATGTTTCCTTCCTGCCTTCCTTACAGGATTAGCCCTGTAAAGTGGAAAAAAACAAAAGGAGATTTCTTCCAACAACTGGTTCTCTGAACTGCTTGGAAAGTTACCAACCGGTTCTCCCGAATAGGTGCGAATTGGCTGAATCCCACCACTGATGTAGACATTTGGGATAGACCAGTGTTTTTCAACCTTTTTGTGCAAAGGCACACTTTTTTCATGAAAAAAATCACGAGGCACACCACCATTAGAAAATGTTAAATTTTTTTAACTCTGTGCCTATATTGACTATATATAAAGTAATTTTCCCACGGCACACCTTACACTATGTCACGGCACACTAGTGTGCCACGGCACAGTGGTTGAAAAACACTGGGATAGACATTTCACAGCATGGCCATGCTACTTTGAAGGATTTCCCAGGTTTCCTGCATGTGCTCATAAAGATAACCCTTGGCAACGATGGCCTCAGGTTCTCACTACTTTTATTAAATGAGTAGTGTTGTGGCATTGCATTGCAAACTCTGTCTCTTTGGGTCATGCATGCAATATTTATGGAAAAGAGGGATCTTGAGATAAAAATGTAAATTTACTATGAACTAAGTTCATATGAGTGCAGCGTATGCAATATATTCAGCTGTGTACAGCATATTTCAAAACTTCCCACAACTCCCATTGAAATGAGGGTTGCACAAAGAGGCAAAGTCATTGTGGTGGATCCAGAAAGATGGCAACTGCCATTGTATAATCAAAGCCCTGCCCCTTTTTAAGTGTGTTCAGTGTATAACAAATTATGTTCAGTTATGTGATCATGGACATCTTTCCTTCTTTTTTTTAACACCCCTTACGCTTCTTTGGATCGATTAACCAACCCCAGCCCCAACCCTCATCATTTTATTGGAATTACTTGACAACATTTAACTACTGAGCATTATTAGAAATCTATTCAGCAGCACTGTAAAATGAGTTTACCTAGAACTTGAGATTCTTTTGACGGAAACTCTTCCATAAACATCTGTGTCTTGCTTTTAACAGCTGGTGTAGTATTCTGACCTTTAGCATTAACAAGAGATGAAATTGTGATTCATTTAAGCATCCACACTGGAAAGCTACTAAGATTGATTGATTGATTGACCAATGGATTGGTTGATTTAGATGTGTTCAAGTCAGTGTTGACTGACTCCTGGTGAATGACTGCTTGGACAAGTCCCTACAGTTTTCTTAGCAAGGTTTTTCAGAAGGCAATTTACAATTGCCTTCTTTTTCCTAGAGCTGAGAGACAGTGATTGGCCCAAGGTAACCCAGCTGGCTTGATGCTGAAGGTGGAACTAGAAGTCATGGTTTCCTGGTTTCTAGCCTGATCTACACCAAACTCTCATTTTGTTCTAGCATAGCCATTGAAATAAATAAATAATGTTTTAATAACCACCTCATCAGCAAATAGTGGATAGTGCTTAGCTTAATTACTTTTGAGATATTATTAAAAAAATACTTTGTAAGGGTAACCAAATGACCAAGCTCAGTGAAACCAGGAACTCCGTGATTTACAGTTACGATCGCTTGGAAGGGAGAATTGACCTGAGAGCCTTGGAACAGTAACTTTATTCTAGTCTGTATAGGCCATCCCACTTGTCTTAAGGCAGGGGTGTCCAAACTTGGGAACTTTAAGGCTTGTGGACTTCAACTCCCAGAATTCCCCAGCCAGCCGCTGGCTGGGGATTCTGGGAGTTGAAGTCCACAAGCCTTAAAGTTCCCAAGTTTGGACAACCCTGACTTAAGGTCAGGCTCAAGAGAGTAGCTGCTCCATTCTGGAATGTGATTCCAAGTTCTCCTCCTCATTATCCAACATGGAAAAACACAGATCCCTAATAATGTTTATTTTGCTTTTCATCAGAATGATATAAAGTGTTTTGAATTGCTAGTCAATCACAAGGGCATGAATTGTTCACATTTTATAGAAATTGGTGAAGTAGATCTTGAATCATTTTTCCTTAAAATGGGTTTTAAAGTGCCTGCACTGCTTTGCTCTTTGTTGGAATGGGATAAAATATATGGAAAATTTATAAGTGCATGAAGTACATTTATTAGAAATCAGTGCTGGCTGTTTCCAGTACACTTTATTTTGCTCTAATCAACTTTGTACTTTGAACACTTTTCCATTTCCCAATGTGCTCAATAAATTTTAATGAACATTACTCATTTATTTTCATCAATTTATATGACTATTGATTTTGCAATAGTGACAGTTTAGGATTAAAATATTTCACAATTATGTGTGTGTGTGTGTGTGTCATTGTGAAATATTTTAATCCTAAACTGTCACTATT